TGCTCTTTGCCGACCGAAAGAAGTTTCGGGCAGCAGCGGCAGCACCATTTCAGCAACAGATTAGAGAACCAAATCACTGTGGCATCTCTTGGTCAGGCTATCCTATCATCCATAGAGCTCGCCAGGGAGGCAGACAATCAAGTCGGCGTCCAAGGGGAAGCGAAAGCCAGACTGGGCTTTGGAACCCAAACATAGGTCAGAAAAGGGGGAGACGAGGCGGAAATTCCGAGTCATACGGTTTCATAATTCGAAGGAACCAGTTGTCCAAGCCTTACTAGAGGGATTTATTTGGAGCCGAAATTGCTGGTCACTCCGTATCGCAACTAGGTCTCTAGGATGTACAAGACCTAATATTCAGGTACTTACTTTCTCTACTAAGGAATCAGCCTTGTCCGAGGACGAATGACTTCCACGATCCGTTGAAAAAGCACTTCCAGAGCGGGAAGGGAGTGTGGCAGATCTCTCGGAGTGATGTCTAGAAATGCGCGAGTCTAGCGTGGATGTACGTCCTGTCTGAAATGCCTGGGCGCCAGGGCTGGGTGACTGCGAACGAAAGCTGTATGGCACGCGTCTTGGAGCAGCAGGGACTCGTGAAGGTGAATATAAACGTCCAGTGTGCAGGGCAGCTAGCCTGTCGCCTTCGCATTCGACGTTTCCATTGCCTAACCGCACATCAGTCGGTTTCAAAGGCGGGTGGACACATTGGGACCGAGCTTGTAGCGAACGCTCGCATGTTTTGTAGGCCAGGTATAATTTTTTACGTGTTCGTAGCTCGGTTGAAAAAAGCGTGAGGAACTTGTTGGTCACCTTGCTGATTTCAACCTTTAGCTGAGGTGAGGAACAATTAAGAAATACAAGTCGAGTAATTACTGACATACAGAGTTCCAAACAGGAGTCAGTAGAGGCATGCGATGTTCGGAGATACCCAGAAAGAATATTTCCATCGTACAAGCTAAAACTCGGTAAAATAGACCACCATTAACAACTCTAGATCGGATATTAGCAGCTGAGGAAGTAAGCGAAAAACGTGTTTCTCACAAGTGGGGATTCCTCGGTTTCTTAAAACGACTTACAGGATGTCATTGAAATTTGGGTAGAACTAGTGGTTAAAGAGTCAGTCGGGAGTATGATGATCGATAGATCCAGTCCCTTTGTAGATAAATAGTGACAATTGTTCAGCTGTAACATCCTTTTGGTG